GCAAAGTTATTTACACATTTCCTTTGCCAAACGGAGAGAGTAATTATCTGTCTCAAAGAGAAATCAATCCAATACCATGGAAGGCCTCCAAATGCGCAGCAGCAATATGAAAGCTACAAACAATAATGAAAAAAATGAGCTGTACACGGCCGAGCGTTTTTATTTTTTTACTTTCATTTTTTTCCTGACTGTTCTTGGGTTTGAAGCCTAGCAGAGAGTCTGTCTTTGAGCAGTGTTAGCATACAGCTTTAAACAGCAGCGCTCTGCACACACCAGATGGGACTCCCTCACTTCAATCCATATTACTTTGTTTAGCCAAACATATTGTTTATTTCCCTGCAAAAAAAAGAGAGAAAAGAACACTTGTTGACTAGAAGAGTTGTTAAACTCGCAAAACATTTCCTTAATCAGGGTTAAAAGAGCACAGGTGAGAAGAAATGCTTAAAACACAAATTAAACCAGTTAATATAAAAGGATGAACACTGTAAAAGTTTTCAAACGTGGTAAAAAGAAAAGGCAGATAGAAAAATTCAATAGGAAAATAATATGTGAGTTTAGTTATTAATATTATGTCAGATCCAGTGAGCAAAATACCATAAAACAACCGAAATACTTATAGATACAAAAGTTAAGCTCAAAAATTGCAATATTTAATATAAATAAATAAATAACAACAATGATTTTTTCTTTTTAATATGATTCTTCATAATATGATTCAGTGATTCTTAATAAGGTAACATTTAATTAATAAGTCATTAACAAACATTATATATGGTTTAACATTTATGGAAAGGTATGGAATTAAATAGGGTTGGGTATCGTTCTTTTTTTTTTCGATACCGGTGCCAAATCAATATTTTTAAAAATGGTTCCGGTGCCTAAATGGTGCCTGAACCGATACTTATTAAAAAAAAAATTTTAATTCCCCAAAAAATGATGGATTGGCCATTAGGACTATAAACACATGATGTCGGTTTCATTGATGCTGGACGCCAGAGGGCGCCCTCGCACAGAAAATCCACATATCCAGTCACAGAAGTAGCGGAACTCATGACTAGGGCTAGGCGATATGTCAAAAATATCTTATCGATAATCGCCTTTAAAAATATCGCGATATCCGATAATATCATCTACCTAAGCCCCACCTCCACCACGCCCCACCCCCGCCGAGACAACATTGCCGACACGCACCATAAACATACACCATGTTCAGTTTGGTCTTAATTACTGCCACAAAGTTTGGTTTTACTTTTCTTAGTTTGTGCTTAAACTAACAGAAAACATTAGCTTTTATTTATAAAATAGCTGTTATTTTGGTGTTGCTAATAATTTCCACTCTGTTCTTATCAAATTTGTGTTTGAAATTAATTTCGTTTTGTGAGGAGAACTGTTGAGGAAAAATAATAGAACCCAATTTTAAGTTCATCATGGTGAAGTTGGACATTCTGGCGGTGATTTTAAGAATGATAAATGCATGTTGATGTCATATAATAATGTCTTGAATAAAATATACCTTTTTTCCGATGTTTCTCTTTCTTCTTGGCATTATCGCCTGTGTAGACACATTTCATGATGGTAAGTTTAATTTCCTTAATTATAACAATTGCAGCGTTGTTTTTAAACTTGTAGTCAAGCTATAACGTATTTGATGTTTATCATGTATGACTAAAATCATGCAGGGATTAAAAATGAATTCTGAGCAAAAACGTTAAGGTTTTTTTTTTTTTCCCTTTCTGGTAGCCAACTAGTTCGGAGGTCTCTTTCGGCCCGTTTTTAACGAAATAAAAATAACTGCTTTGTTTAATTAGAAGCAGGGTAATTTAAATTTCATTTTTATATTGTAATTTTTATAATTTTTATTTTATTCATCAAAATACAATGCCCACAATATAATATTCAGTGTTGGGCTGCCGAAACTCCGAACGCATGCATGTTGAGGGGCGAGCTGAGAAGCCTACTAATGTCTTCATCCAACTATAAAGTTTTGTTGCAAATTAATTAAGAATTTATAGTGCTATATCTCAGCTTAATTAAACAATTATATTGTATACACGGTTTACAAAATCTGTAAAAATATTGCACTGAAATTTGCGCTGAAGGAATTTGCGTATTTTAATAGTAGTCTAACATTTTATGATATTTAGTAGACAAACAATTCAGATGACTAAAATATGACTTAAACTAAATGCCATTTTTGTCAAAAGACTTTGACAAACTAAATCAAAATTTGCTGTCAAAATTAACACTGGTCTGCACTATGACTGACCAATCGATTTTTGTGTTTTTACAACCCTCACATAGACTCGTCAAGTTGGGCATGTTGTTGTGGTCTTAAATAGTTTGTTGCTCCATTTCTTTTCATTCTTTTTTGACTGAGACAACGACCAGTGTTGCCACTTCGTGGACAAACTGAATGAACTTTATGGTTAAAAACCAAAGAACACTTTGAGCAGCAGATCATTTCACTGAACAAAGATGTTTTTGCTGTTGCTCTCTGTGTGCGTCTCAATCTTAAGACACTCATTTCCTGACGAAGCACCTTTCAAAGTCAGACAGTCTCCTCCGAATCTCTGTCTCTCTCCATCTCTACAGGAGAACAGGGGTTTCTTTCAGTGCTCTGAGGAAAGGTAGAACGGTCAGACGAGAAGCTTTTTGAGAACCCTCCCCAGATCACTGGACACACACTGGTGCTCATTGTCCAACATGGTCCTGATTGGGAAAAGAGAACTGTGGGAATAGACACTGCAAACCCTACTGGCTGCGGTCTAGACACTAACCTGATGTCTAATGTACAACTAATACTCACATTCATTCACCTAAACTCTCATCTACTGATCTGAATGCTGCAGATTCTGGTTATTTACACCAACTGCTCCAGACAAAAGTGGATCTCTGAATTGTTTCCAAACCATCCATCTATCTTCTCAGAAACAAAGGAGAGGAACCATACAATGACAAACAATAAGATGTAGACATACACCCAATTTTAAATTAAATTCTTACCCGCAATGTAAACAGTCTCACTGAGACACTCATGAGTTTCTCCACATCCTGTGGTCAAGCCCAATCAAATCTCTTCATCCCTGATCTTGGCCCTACAGTGGTCTGTTGGGATTGAAGCAGTGCTCAAGCTGGGTTGATGGCCTCCACTCAGATATTGTCCCCCAACAAAAAAAGCACAAGCCTTTGCATCTGAGACAAGACATATTCGCAAATTTGCAGGACCTTTTTAGCTCCCGAAAGTCTGAGAGGTTCACTCAAAACATTTTACTTTTTTTTACCTGGCAGTAAGTATCATGCATGCATTATTTATGATATTGAAGCTAAAAGTATTGGGTAGGCTCTATATTAAAGGTGCTAGGAGTGATTTATGGCAGTGCTTCAGGACCCAGATTTTATATCAGAAATCCAATTGTTTAATGTACAAAACTTTGAAATGTATATGCTAATGCATTTAGCTTGCACATTTCAATAGTTTTAAGGTGCTACACAGTTAATAAAAATCACTACACAAACACGTTTATCCTCATTTTCTTTTCGTTCATAGTTTATTCAGTCTGGTCATATTTTTTTTTATGATTTTGACATTGCTAAAATATCAAGAACATCTGCATTATTGACAGGGTCACAGCCTTCCAGTTGAGATGGACTGATCAACAAAACATCATACAAAAAACAGCAATGAACGAATTTCATACACAATTTTATTTAATAACCCAATTTGAAGCAAAAACAGAATGTTCTGAGTAGCTTTGTGAAATTATAATACATGCCTGAACGGAACAAACAGCAGACGAGCTGAGATGAGATGCAGATTCACTCTCTGACAGCGGGAGGCGCTTCTGGAACAGCGTGTCCTTGGTTACCGCAGTAAACAAAGCAGCGCTGCGCTGAAACGCTGCTTTAATATGAACTATACAGAGATGAGATTAAAAGAAAATACCACGTAACCTTTTCTGAAGACAGTCGGTTCCCCTCAGAAACACATTCATATAAACCCCCAAATCAATATTGAGGATTTTCTTCCAATAGTTCGTGCATCATGAACCGAGAGTGATCTGCCTGCTACAGTATTTTTCTCTGTGCGTCCGTCTTCAACGTCTCCGGCCTATGTTAACGGGCATTTACAGACTTCATATTTTCACATAAATGACATTTTGTAAAATGATTGCATTGCAACGCAGTTTGTGCAAGTCCGGAACAGAGACGGAGACAAAAAAAAACGGCCGTTTGCTGATCATGTAAGTTCCAGGGGCAGCTCCTTAAAGTCCGGCGATCCTACACACACGTGACTGACCGCTCGCTCGCACCAACAAGAGGAGGAGGATCGTGCTACTCTCTACACTGCACTCAACCTGAGGAATTCCTACACTTTCGGTCTTTGAGGAGACATGAAAAACAGAGCATACCGCAGGAACGGTATAATGGAAAATATTAGTGGTTTTGAAACCGTGAAATTTTCAAATCGCAGTATACCTTGAAACCAGTAATCGACCCATGCCTACCCTCAAGGCATCCTAGGTGTAAATTACTTTCTTCTTTCAGACGAATCCAGTCGGAGTTATATTAAAAATTGTCTTTGATCTTTCAAGCTGTATAATGGCACTCAGCGGGTGTTGCAGTTCATCAGTCCAAAGGAAGTGAAATAAAAAGCACCCATCCATAATAAAAAGTGTCTCACATGGCTCCGGGGGGTGAACAAAGGCCTTCTGTAGTGAATCAATGCGTTTTTGTAAGAAAAATAACCATATTTAAAACATAATAATCACTTTAATGTAGCTTGCGCTCACCGTTGTACACGGAAGCAGTTCAGGGCGGATGACGTATGA